TCGACTTCCATCCTCGGTGTCTTAGACTTCCTAGCCTGCATGCAGCGGGCCTTGTAAAGGCTTCCCTGTGGTTTTGCACAGACTCTTTCCCCCCACAGCTACAGGCATTATAGGCATGAGAGCAGTTGTTCTGGGGCGAATTTCAGAATGACCGCCACTCAGAATTGCTCCTTTCAAGGGCGAATGTCGTAGGCTGCAAGCCCCTACAGTAGCCCGCAAATCCCTCCAGATCCACTGCAATGGCTACCACTCGGAGCGCTGCATGGTCCAGTCGAGCCAGCAATCGACTTGGCCTGGAACATCTCTCATCGGAGTCGGAAGAAGCCGCACTTACTGAAACGGGCTATGGCCTGTGGCCACAGTGGCCTCCATGGTTCGGTTAAGAATGGTTCGAGCATTCGGGAGATGCCTGAACGCGACAGCATGGGCTCCAGACCCTGCAAAAATCTCTTCCCCTGTGCCATTGAATATATCTTGGCCTACGGACCGGCTAGGTCGGCTAGGTGAGGCTCTTGTGTTGAAAAAGCATCTGAATCTGCTTCGATGTTGCTGTTCTTGAGTTGTGGACCTGAAGCCAGCGAACGGATTTCGTCGGGAGTGGAGGTCGTGCACTTTCAAATCGGCCGTATTTGCCCGGCTCACCCTCCCAGCGCTTGCGCTGGCATGGCCTGACTCAATGAAGTCGTTCCCCAGCAGCCCTGGCAGCAACAGGATGGCCACGGACAATCCCTGATGTTATGCACTTTCAAGGCCACCGTACGACTATTTGCGGGTCAACTTGCTGGCCTGCTTCATTTCAATCTTCTTTTCTTGCCTTGTCTCACGAATGCCTGAGATAGCCGGCCTCTCCTATTTCAACGCAGTCTGTGTAAGCTATGGCGCTGCGCGACAAGTGGCGGGAATGCCATGCTAAACAGCTCGCCGCCCCGATCACTGCCTACCGCTGCTTTCGACATGCGTCATGGCAGCCAACCAATCGTTATCTAGTTCCCTTTGCATACATGGCTTACATGGGTCTTAACTCATTACGCAAAGTGATGCAGAATGCTGGTGGCTCGTGCCAGATTTGTAGCTAAAGGGCTTGGGAGGAGGACGCTGTGGACGCTTGTCTGTTCCACACGGGATCACAACATCAAGCAGTCGAAAACAGAAAATGAGCAACACCCATCCAGAAGCAGCCATGGTCACCCCTTTCCAAGACCCACCTTCATGGAGTTTTCTATCCGTATATTACCTTGGTCCAAGGCTCTTTATAGATAGAAGCCATATGAAACAGCGTGAGTTACGATGTATTCTCGGTAGATTCTATCTTATGGCCTGCTTGCTCCTCATGAAGCTTCTCATGAACCAATGCTAAGCTTACCCAAAAACCTATGACCAGGATCCGGCCGGGCTTTAATATAACTTATGAGGCACCAGGTGTGGCATTGTGGTACTTCTCGCATGTGCATACAAAGTAGGGTTTAGTAGAGCGTAAGATACAATATGGCATGGTGCCCCGTAACATGGGACAGAACAGTATAGTTCAGTATTGCGACGTATAGTCTAGTTCATCATATATGAGTAGCATAGCATGGTAAAGAACAGCCGTATACTATGCTATAGATACAGATTATGGTAGTCCGATATCATACGAAACGGTTGAATATAAATACTGTAGATCGACGGTAGAAGGCAGAGATCAGCCTTATGTTCTAGTCTAGTGTATTACAATATGTTGTGATATGACATTGGCAGTAAAGCACACGATAGCATATTGCAACGTTGACACTATATTACAGTGTGGTATAGCATACACTATATGGGATACGATACTCTAGTATAGCACTACCGCAGCATGGCGTAGCATAATACACTGTTGCAGGGCCCTGTTTACTATCTTAAGAGGGTATTGTAGAGCATAGCATGATATAGCCAGGTATAGTGCGCTAGCATAGTACAGCGAATTATAGTCCAGAGTCTAGTGTACTATTCTGCCGTCAGTTCTAGTTCATTATATATAAAGCACGAGCATAGGTCATAGAAAGAGCGATTTGCGTTCATGAACCGAAGAATGTGGTACCATGCACACCACATATCCACTTACAAGGCTCGCTGTCGACACCACAGGGTATCTGCTCACAGTACTGGTGCCACAATGGCGGGGCATATCGCAAGTACGAATTGAGGCTGTGCTTTCTTTGGTGGTGTGTGTGTGTGTGTTATGACCACGTATACGATGAGTAAAATCATGAGTTCGACTTCCCATTAGGCTAATCGTCTTTCACTGGACTAATCGAAGGGCCTTCAATTGCTTGTATCGGCTATGCATATGATATGACGTACAATGTTTCAATTCAGGTTGTTAGAGCGTAGCATAGTACAATGTATTAAAGATAAGCATTGACGCCATAATCTAGTATGGTGTAATGCAGTCTAGTATAGCAAAGTGCAATGTAGTACCTTTCAATACGGGCAAACCCAGTACAGTAAACTCGAGCATAGATGACGATTAATTATCAAGTATTGTATGGTACAGTGTCGACTGCTATGCAATGCAATGCGGTATCGTGTAGTCCAGCATAGCACAAAGCGGCTTGGTTTACGGTAGTGCAACTTACTACATTCAAAGATAGCCTAGTCTAGCACCAACGCAATATAGGATAACCTTGGACGTTACGGTGTTGCATAGTTTCGCAATGGTGTAAAAACAAATGGCTACTATAGTATATCAGCGGCACACCTGTAGTCTGGTATGGTGGAGTAGACTATAGTACATAGTCATTGGGAGCCCTATGATCCTGAGCTCTGCAGCATTAAGATCAACAGATATGGAAAGCTCAATGGAATTCCACATCTCCAGGTTTGCAAAGCTCTGTGGCTTTGGACGCAGCACATGTGGAAAGGTGGAATTCCATTGAGCTTTCCGTTATGTGCCAGACAGACACAATGCCGGGCCCCCCTGGGTCCAAGAACCAACATTGCGGAACAACAATTCTTGGATTCGCTCCGAGAGCCACGCACCCCGATTTCAAGAATTGAAAAGCTTAAGGGTTTAAATCGGGGCCCGGCTCCAAGATGGATCCAAGAAACTTCTTTCTGCAATCTTGGATCTTGGATCCAGCCGGGTCCCCGACTTAAAGACTTAAACAACGTAAGTCGTTAAGTCGGGGCGCCGGCTGGATCCAAGATCCAAGATTGCAGACAAAAGTTTCTTGGATCCATCTTGGATCCGGGAGGGCCCCGACTTAATGACTTAAAAAACTCAAGTCATTAAGTCAGGGCCTTGGCTGGATCCAAGATCCAAGATTGCAGACAAAAGTTTCTTGGATCCATCTTGGATCCGGGAGGGCCCCGACTTAATGACTTAAAAAACTTAAGTCATTAAGTCAGGGCCCCGGCTCGATCCAACATGGATCCAAGAAACTTTTTCCTGCAATCTTGGATCTTGGATCCGGGAGGGCCCCGACTTAATGACTTAAAAAACTTAAGTCATTAAGTCAGGGCCCCGGCTGCGGCGTCCCCTTCTGAAGGGCTTCAGCAGGCATGCCAGGGGGCAATGTGTCTCACTTTACATTATGTCTCGCGGCATCACGAACATACCGATGAGACTCAAGTCAAGCGGCAACTCCAGGCAAAAATTCTCACCCGGGGCTCATAAGGTCCAGCGTGTAACGTGTAATTAGATCTGATTGCCTCTTCCAACACCGCCAGGTTTTGCTGACCTGCACACCGGCCATGTTTCCTGATCTATGCGTGCTGTTCATGATGCCATCGAATGTTGCAGTTGCCGTGCCGCCCTCCAAACTGCGAAAACCCGAAGGCCCTGTAAGTTGCCACCGGCCAGCAAAAATGCAACGCCTCGGCGCCCCGTGCTCACCTCAAGCCAATTTCGTGTGAGGTTCCGCGAGCTTGTGTCTCTCGACCGTTGCCCAAAGTATGCCGTTAGAGAGCACGAAGAGGCGGCCGCAGCAATGAATGCAATACAAACTCTGCACACACATCTTCGCCTCATTGACCACCTCTGGATCCAGTTGCTGTGTGTAATCCGACAAGGCCAGATGCCAATCAAGCTGGACGCCATGGGCGTTGAATTTTGTGAAGCTGACATCAACATCGGAGGGCTGCCAGAACAAACACTATAACCATTAACGGCGGAAGCATCTGCAAGGAGTCTGAGTACAGAAACAGATGCGTGCAAGTCGTAGTGCACATTAATCTCATGTACCTGCAGGAATTGCGAACATATCATCTCTGAGACGTACACAGAATCCCGAAGTCTGCGTTGCCATGCGAATATCAGCTGGTTCGTATATGGGACGACATGCTCCCCTGATATTCAAGCGTCTCTGACAGGCCTTCAGTGGTCTATTGGCCGCAGGAACCATCGCGAATCTTCTAGTCGCGCGGCTTCCTTCGAATTGGACCAACCCGCAGACACACCATGTCTCCATGTGTAAAAAAATGGCAGCCGGCACAGGGTACCGAAGACTAATTGAAGTCTGACTCCGCTCAAGACCATCCAGGAAGCCCGGCGCTGGCGCTGAGGAGCCGGGAGCGTCACGGCACTGGTGTGGCCGTCCATCGTCATGAACTCACCCAAACCCAGGTCTCGAAGGCCGATCACAGTCTGCGACGGGTAGTGCGCAGTAACATGCCAACTGCGCTGCATCAACTCTAGGAGCGTCCAGTGAATCTCTCTCGACCATGTGTTGAAAAGTGCAACCTCCAAACTCTCCTGGACAACCAGCTGAAGATGTCCGGCAGCAAGGTCATCTCCGCGCGTTCGATATCGACATCAACCAGGTCCCAGGTGTCTGTATCGCGAAGCAGCAAAGCTGTGCTCAAGTTGCCAGAAGATCAGTGTGTACTTGGAACTCGCAGCGCCCAGGTGGTAAATTCATTGCCACATGTGTCTTCAACTCAGAGCCATCTCCCATTGCAAAAGGTTCCACGAGCAACAGCAAGCAGGGGACGTCGGGCGCGGCAAACTGTGCAAAGGCTTTTGCTGCGCGCATCGCTCAAATTCCAAAGGCACCACTGCCCAGCTCTGCCATTCGGAATGGGCGAGCAGCCTTTGCCGCTCGGAAACCAGCGGTCAGGCTGTCCGCCCACTCCAAATATTCTTCATCGAGCATGGGCCATATCCGGGGAAGAGTTTTCCCTGACTTCAAATACTCACATGGCATGGATCTGCCCGGTGTAAAAAAGGCAAGTGAGGTGTGCTCGCAGTCGACGTGGGCGGGCATGGACACACCGAGGAAGTCTAGTATGAAGCCTTCTTGGCCCGGCCCGGCTACAGCTGGAAAGTTTTCGAAGATGGGTAAATGTTTCTTCTGACAAGTGCCTTTGAACAGATTTCTGGTTTTGCACCAGCAGATCAGAGGCAGGTTCAGTTTTTGTCCGCTTGAAGTGGAAGTAAATGTCAAGTGCAACAATACTGGTGGAGTGAGCAGTGGTTTGTCCATCGATTACGGCGAGTGCCATATACCCGGTGATCCGGAGAACGCCAACTACCCTTGAATATGGCTGCAGTTTGCCAGCATCAGGGCGACCCCAATCCCCTTGTCAGCAAACTTAATGGAGACGCGTCCGCAGATGTCCTGAGCATGCACAGCAGGAACATCAAGCCATGGCAGCTCGCTGCGACATGCTGCGGCTAGACTGACTGGAATGAAGTGCGGCCAGGGATCCACCGAACCCTACAGAGGGGTGCCTGTCTCGCGCAGGTTCGGGGGGAATACATCCAGAGCAAACCACTGGCGAACCACTTCGTTGAGGCGAAAGGCGAAGACAGCATCGTCCTCCAAGACAAAGCCGAAAACGGAAGAATACAGTCAATCGTGAAAGTGGCTCGGGGGTCGCAGGCATCCACATGCAAGGGTGGTACCAACATCTTTCTGATGTAGCTTCGCTGCGATCACTTCGTGCTGATACTGTGAGAAGTCACCCGCAAAGAAAGGAAATAAGTCGTCGCTGCAACGGGCTCTATCATTGCCACTTTTGATACCGCTCTGGAACATGCGGCAGCAGGTCGAGAGGGCATGGTGATGTCGATGCAAGGGCGAGAAGCCCAAATGGACATGCCCAGTCGAAGTCTATGATGCACACCAGTACAAATCGTCAATGTCAAGTTGCATACCACGAAATTGTTGCATAGCCCCTCAAGTTTCAGTGCAGTAGCTTGCCCTGTGGAATGTGTGTGTCTTCCTTCATTATCACCTGGCGACCAGCGGCAGTCTGCAAAGGTGTAGTAACCCGATACGACACAAACGACCGGTTCACGCAGATTGCTGGTGGCACACCTGCATGAGGACCGCTCTTGAAGCCACCATGCATGCATTGTCATGCTTCATCGTCCCCATCAAGGCACCCGGAATTCCGCCTCGTCCATGGAAAACAAACATTGAACATGCGCTCTCCGCTCTGAAAGCTTGAAGCACAGCCAGGGATTTGTTTGAACAAGTGGTCTCGTGCTTTGCCACAAGCGGCCCTTGCAATTGGCCGGCCACATAATTACGTAAGACAATCTTGCAAAGTCATGCTGGGAGGCGGACCTGTGGTTTAGAACCACTGCTGGCACTTGCCAAGCCAACGTCAAGCCATCACGGACAAACGAGCCAGGCCAACCGGAGTCTCTCCACTGGGCCTGTTTTTTTCGTCTGGCTGGAGCTAGCTTGTCTTATGATGACAAATCAGGCTTGAGAAGCTAGGACACCCGAACTGCCAGGGACTTGGATTCACTCGGATAAACCACAAAGACAGACGCCACAAGCTTGTGGCATGTAAGCTTCAACAGGCTGAAAGTTCAAGGAGACAACGGCAGGCTCCAGATCGCAGTGGGTATGCCATGATCCAACAGTCAGTATGCAGCTTCCAGAATCAACATTAGTCGCACTGCTGCATAAGCGGGATTCTTGACATGATACGAAAAACATACAGCGTGAAACAGAATCTATCACCCACTGCATGTACTGAAAACAATCCAGACTCTCTGGAGTCGCAGTGGCCGTGGAGGATTGAACCAGGACTGCAAGTGCATGCCAGCGCAAGGAAACCAATGCGCAAATCCCCCGGAGCCCGACAGCTCCCGAAGGTCAAAGGACTGGAAACATCTGGAAACCTTTCACTGCCGACCGGGGCAAAAACTAAATATCGGAGGATGGCATTCGTGGAACCTGGCAGAGCTGTCAGCTGCGACTGAAAAGTGATCTCGTGGTCTTTCCCCTTAGCAGCACGTTAACGTGCTAGTTTGTCAAACATGAAGACAACTCAGTCTTGTTAGTGAGAGGCGGGTGCTCCCGTGCCATCCATGTGGCAAATCAGGTGTGCCTGCCGTCTAAACTCTATGTGGATCTGGAAGTTTGAAGGCCAAGCTTTTGCTATAGGCTGTGTTGCGCTATTTCAACTCTCACAGCTCGCGCAAGACAGGCAAGGATCCACAAGTCTGAGTAATACTGGGCGACTATGACGATCTGTTGCAGGGCATGCTCACCAGCTCAGCACATCCAAACCAACCGAACACCAAACAACCATGACAACCAAAAACAACATACCAATAATCAACCACCGAAGTGAATCATCTACGACTAAACGAGTCTGTTTGATGTTCCGAGGGCCCGGACGCACGATGGTACCTGACGGCAGGTGGAGCTCCTTGGTGGTCCCAGGAGACGGCTCCTATGCTACTGCGAACTTTCGAGACCTTGTGCCGCACGCATGCGCCGGAATATGGGAGAAACACTTGCAAGACCTTTCTGCCTTTACGCTGCTATTCTAGCTACCCTTGAACCCCGGAAACTCTGCAAGACTGCAGGCCTGACCGCAACTCCCTGGCCCTGAACCACCTTCAGTCCCCGGAGCAGGCTTGACGAGGCCACAGGGTGTCTTCCCCGCACCCGGCTGTAGATCCACCTGGAAGCAAGCTTGAAGCGACTCATCGCACGTGCGTAAGCTTCGGGTTGTGCCAGAAACGCTAGGGATGAAGGTTGCAAACAGACTGCTGCTTGCCATGTGCGTGCTGATGCATGACTCGGCCGAAGTTGTGGTAGACTGTTGAAGTGACAACTGAGCACGGGATGCTGCCACATGGTCATCATCAAGCAAGCTCCAGAGGATCTTTTCTGCGCTTGCATTCTGACCCAGCACCATGCCTGAACACAGCTTCGCAGGGCCGCAGCACTCAAGGTGCTTTGTGCTTGCTGCGTTGCATGTTCTGATACAGCACGGGTCAACGTCGACTAAGACATCCACAGCACCATTCGGTGCTTGTGCCGCCAGTGAATTCCAAGAGGGGCATCGTCGTTCATTCACATGCCGGCTGCCCGCAGAAGTACGTATGTTTTACATGACGGAAGCAGTTTCGCTGGCACTTCACTCGGCAGCAGCTTCGGCAGGCTGCCTACAACCGTGACCTAACTTTGTTGGGTTTTAGCTTCGGGATGGCAAACAACAAGGCTTTGGGCTTCACAGGAGGCCGGTGTTGTTGAACATGCTATAGAGGAGCTTAGAGCTTGGCGATACAATCAAGGGATGCTTAGGCTACATGCCCCAGCGCAGGTCCTCGAGGCATTTGCTGTCAGTCCTGCTTGCTGGCTGCATGCCATAGGCTTGCAGTGAATTGTCACTGTTCAGGACGCAGAGCGCCTGCGCAAGTGACTCATTTTGCGGAGCAGCCATGCATGCGTCAGGGCGGTTTCTGCAATGAGATCAGCCGCGCAGCACGATAACTGCCAAAAATTTCTGCCCCGGGGTCAGTCCTCATCATGATGCAGAGCAGAAAGGATGCAAAGCTACCACGAACGCAATTGTGACCTTGGATTGGCACCAGGTCTGTCACCGTAGCATCTGCGCAGAATGAGCCAACACTGCTCAAAGCTAGCTAGCAGGCTTCAGGATTCTTTAAGTGCAACTCGAAACTCAGGAGGCTGCACAGTCTTACAACGCGGTTGAAAGTGTTGGCAGTGGCCAGTATGTACTTCACAACTCGAAGTAGGGATAATTGTGCCCCCAATCCCCAGAACGTCTTGCGGCGTGGTCGCTATCGAGCTAAGACGGCTCTGGCTTGAGACGGGCCTGCCGCACACGTCGCTTTGCAACTGGACCGTGCTTCACTGGACACTGACTGGCTGCTTGGAATCTTGGAATTACTCATTACTGCAAATTGCGGAAGGCACTTGGCAGTTTAAGTCTAAACCCTATCTTAACTTATGTTCCATACAGTGACGACAACTTCGTGGGCGACGGGGGTGGGAATAGGTACCGGTAACACCCTCGATTTGGGCTAGTACACGTCCCAATTCAGACCCTGGTCTGTTTCGGACAATGTCAGATGTTGGCATGATTTAATGGATCCGTGCAAATTTGGTGGGGTGTGAAATGCAGCAATGTGAGCCTGGTCCAAAGTATTACTGGGTATTAACTAGCGGCACAGCCAACCATTCTCTTCTGTCAGCTGTTAGCGGGGGGGTTCTCAGAAATCAGAACACTGCAAGGTAAGTTCTCTTCTATGCCGTTTCGCCGGGGTCCAGCTGTTCTGTATGTATGTAGGTGCACGTAATTATGTATGCACGCGTATATATGGTGTATCCAATGCATATAGACCGCCAACCCTGCATCTAGCCCGGAAACACGCATGGGAAAAGAGCGGGCTCCACACCCCCCCGAGAACAATCCCCCTCTCGCCGCAGCTGAGAAATAGCCGGGGGCTCTACCTTCCCCAGTTACAGGTACATCAGACCATAGAAAAAGCCAGTTGCGTGCCTTAGACAAACGGACAGACAGACAGACAGCAGGAAAATGATTTCGGCAGGAGGAAACATGGAGGAAGACGATGCTATGCGCACCCCAAAGTGGGCTGCCGGCGGGGCGCTTCGGCACGTCGTGCTAGGAAACCAAATACCAGCATTACTCTTGCGGCAACAACCCCGAATCTGGCCACACTATTGCGTGTTACAGCGAAAAGATCTCGAGGTTCGTCGGCCTTGTTTGTAGTAGGTCGCCGATTAAAATGGGACGGGGGAAGATCGTAGGACGCAGCAGGAGCTTTGGGAGACGTAAAACAGGAATGCGGGAGCCTACCGGGTTTCCCCCTTCTGCAGAGGGAAACCGGGTAGGTCCCCGCATTCCTGTTTTACGTCTCCCAAAGCCCCTGCTGTGTCGTACGATCCTTGCACGTCGGCCCGTATGAGCACAGAAGCATTGCTTTAAGACACGTTTGTTGTGTTGAAATACTCTCGTCCTTCTACTGGATATCAGACCCTCCAGGCGGAATAGCAGTTTCTAAAGTACCAAAAGCTAACATCAACCAAAAACACAAAAAACACAAACCAACAAAAAGTTATTTACTTCGAACATCCCCACCCTGGTGCCTTGTCCTTCCTACATGCAAATCCTAAGACCTGAAAGAACCCGAGCCTAAACCTTAAACCTTGGTGTTCCCGAGCACTCCCGCGGGCCGCCACGCTGCGGCCAACACAGCAAGATTAGGGCTGATGGTTCACACGCGTTGTGATGGGGGTGTAGGTGTGGAACAAGTGTGTATAGCACAAGATGTTGTACAACATATGACAGAAGAGTACGTGTGGAATCTGCTTGTGACAAACGATTCCGATGCATTATGAATTAAGCCTCGAGGCTGCGAGGCCCCGGCAGATTCCAAAGTTGGGATTGGGCACTCCAGGGAATCTCACGGTAGTCTGTGGGGTTGGGCACTCCAGGGATTCTCACGGTAGTCTGTGGGGTTGGGCACTCCAGGGATTCTCACGGTAGTCTGTGGGGTTGGGCACTCCAGGGATTCTCACGGTAGTCTGTGGGGTTGGGCACTCCAGGGATTCTCACGGTCACGGTAGTCTGTGGGGTTGGGCACTCCAGGGATTCTCACGGTAGTCTGTGGGGTTGGGCACTCCAGGGATTCTCACGGTAGTCTGTGGGGTCGGGCACTCCAGGGATTGTCACGGTAGTCTGTGGGGTTGGGCACTCCAGGGATTCTCACGGTAGTCTGTGGGGTCGGGCACTCCAGGGATTGTCACGGTAGTCTGTGGGGTTGGGCACTCCAGGGATTCTCACGGTAGTCTGTGGGGTTGGGCACTCCAGGGATTCTCACGGTAGTCTGTGGGGTTGGGCACTCCAGGGATTCTCACGGTAGTTTGTGGGGTTGGGCACTCCAGGGATTCTCACGGTATTCTCACGGTAGTCTGTGCGCTTGGGTACTCCAGGAGGTAATCTCAGCAGGGGGGGAGTAATAGCTGACTTTTAAATCTAACAACCCCACACCGAGCGTGGGGACCAACAACCCAAATAACAAATCCAGGAGACTAGTCTCCCAGATTTTTGTTTGTGGTTGGTTTTGTTTTTTTTTGGTTGTGGATTCTCCTGCCAATGCCCGCTCGCACCCCAGTCGTTGGTTTCCCGCGCGGAGGTGCTCGCCGACAGAGGGTTGGAGGTTTATGCCAGCCTTTCCAAAATTCTGCTGAGGACAGACAATAATATGTGAAAAAAATCTTCACAGCTTAGGAAATTTAGCCAACGCAGCGCAAGGCGTTAACAAATCGAAAAATGCCAATTTTCGTGCAAGTATTAATCGAAAGCCAATATCATGTCTGATGCTCAGAAATGGTGTCGATGCATTCATCTAATTTCGTTTCGAACAACGAGTTGATATCGGATGTAGCTAAGTTGTCTAAAGATTCCCAATTGACAGGATCATTTTGCATATTTTATACACATGCAAACACACACACACACACACGCAAACACACACACACACACATATATATATGTGTATATATATATATATGTATATACATATATGTATGCATCTACTCAACTGGGGTACAACCAACAATTATGCTGTATACCCTGTGCTCTATGATGCTACGATGTGGGTAAAACGTTTATTGATGCTTGACTAATAGTCACTGGCTTATGTACCATGTTGCAAATGCTCGGACCCCGTGTCACCATACATGTGTTCACCCCAACCGCAAACCCAGTACATCTCCAGTACGTGTTGTACGTGTTGAACCATGATATGTACAACGTAATCCAAAGCCAAATCGATGACAAATCAATCAGTTCTCATGTAGCTGGAGCAGGACCTCTACTCGTACTATCTCGCCAATACTCATTGAGCTTAGTACAAGACTAACAAATGTGGATACATGTCAGATCATTTCCAATTTAAATTAAATGTTAAACAACATGATTAGCTGCTTTACCGTCATTGAAGGTGTGGACCCGAAAAGACGCAATAGTTACGTAAGTGCTTTTTCATTTTTGGGGATGTTGAGTATCGTTGATTTCAGTACAGAAGCAATAACGATGAGTACAGAAGGAGCAAATCGTCGTCTGCTATTTGAGGTTAGGGGTAACACATGAAACAAACCACACAGGATGCCTTCAACATGACTAAGGCTGACTAAGGTATCGCACCAGCTGCCACTCACATGCTATTTGCATTGCACCGACTATTTTCCTACCATCGGTGCAATAGCAGTTCCTGCGGTTGGTCTTGTTGTCGAGTTTCAATTGCTTGCGCATTCCACATTAGTTGCCTGAACAGTTAGCCACGATGAATGTTGTTGCATATACAGTAATATTGTCACACGTTAAGCATGTAACAAAGGATTACCTGTTACTTGTATACAAGAACACAAATACAATAGCATTGCTTAAAACCGAAATACATGTTATGTTGGTTAAGATGGCATAGCAACACAGGCATTTCATTCAATATTGACCAATAGTTGGATATCAAGTAAATGTTGAAGGGCGAGCTAGTGGCACACTAATCATAACATAGACATAATACAGAAACACTTCAAAAGCATTAAGTGCTAGGCCAGGCAAGTATAGATTCCGCATTCGGACAAAGTTAGTTGCATCGCTGCTACACCACACGAACACTTTTTCAATACGCACTGAATATGCAGGCAAGTACGTAGCCATGAAACAGATATCACGTGAGCAACGAGGTAATTATTTGTGGTTGAGCAATGATGAAGGAGCTATGACATGTAAACAGTAAACACGTATACGGGATGAACATAATACTCGATGTTGCCACCTGGATTCGCATTTCTTCTTAACGTGCTGCATTGACTGTCTTGCCTTTCCATCGGAAGATGTATTGCTGTTCAACATGACATCAT